GATAAAGAACACAAAGATCCATAAAAATGCAAAAATCAAAGATCAGATCAGAAGTGTTAGTAGTGTTCTTAAATCAAAAAAAAAACCAAAAAAGAAACAAAAAAACAAATGCAAATACTCACTTCAAAGCCAAAATCTGGAGTCCAAGTCCGTCCCTAAAGAAAAAGAAAGAAAAGGAATATTAGTAGTGTTCCAAATCAAAAAAGAAAAAGAAACAACAAACAACACAAATACTCACTCCAAAACTAAAATCTTGAGTCCAGTAATATTCAAGTTCATTTCTAAAGAAAAGAAAGGAAAAGGAATATTAGTAATGTTCCTAAATCAAAAAAAAATAAAACAAATAAAAAACAATTGCAAATACTCGCTCAAAGCCAAAATCTGGTGTTTGGTAATATCTAAGTTCATTCCTAAAGAAAAAGAAAGGAAAAGGAACGTTGGTAGTGTTTCCAAATTAAAAAAATAAATAAATAAAAAATAACGCGAATACTTACTTTAAGCCGAAAGCTGAAGTCCAAGTTCGTTTCTAAAGAAAAAAAACCAAAAGTTGCGCCATACAAAATCACAGCGCAGTGCAAACTTTTTAAATTTTAAATTTATATAATTTATATATGGTGTTGATCACCACTGGTGATCTTTTATAGTAAAACCCTTAGGATATTTCAAGATCCTTTTCTTGGTAAGTCAGTACTTTCTTGCAGGATGACGCTATGGGATTCTTTTTTTTTGTAGGTCAGTTCAGTAGGTTCAGTTCGATGTTCTTTTCGCTCTGAGATTCTTTCTTTTTTTGTAGGTCAGTGTTCAGCATTCTTCTATAGAGTTTTTCTTTTTTGTAGGTCAGTTCAGTATTCTCTTTCTTATAGGATGATGCTCTGGGATTCTCTTTCTTGTAGGACAATGCCTTTAGGATTTTTCTCTTTTTTTGTAGGTCAGTATTCGGTATTCTTCTATTGGATTCGTAGGTTAAGTCATTTTCTCTTTCTTTTAATTTTCCATTCGTTAGAGGATTCTAATCTCTTTCATTTTTTTTTCTTTAAATTAGTCCTCTTTTCAGCATCAGATTCTGAATAGGTCTATAAAGCCCTCTTCCTTTCATTTTCCTTTAATTAGAGATTGCTAACCTCTTTCATTTTTTTTCATTAGATCGGTCCTCTTTTCAGCATCAGATTCCAGGTAGGTTTCTAAAGCCCTCTTTCTTTCGCTTTCCTTTAGTTAGAGGTTGCTAACCTCTTTCATTTTTTTCTTTAGATCGGTCCTCTTTTTAGCATCTGATTCTGGGTAGGTCTCTAAAGCCCTCTTTCTTTCGTTTACTTTTAGTTAGAGGTTGCTAACCTTTTTCATTTTTTTTTCTTTAGATCAGTCCTCTTTTTGGTATCAGATTCCGAGTAGGTCTATAAAGCCCTCTTTTTTTCATTTTCCTTTAGTTAGAGGTTGCTAACCTCTTTCATTTTTTTTCTTTAGATCAGTCCTTTTTTTAATGTGAGATTCCAGGTAAATCTTTTTTTGTTTTCGTTTATTCCGTTTTGTTTTGTTTCATTTTATTTTTCGTATGTTCTAACCTTTATCTTCTCCATTTAAATCCCAGTTCTTTCAGTTCTTCGACCCTAAGGTGCATGTTTTTTCATTTTTTGTTTTGTTTGTTTGTATTGTTTATTTTGTTTCATTTTTCGTTCGTTCTTACCTTTACTCTCTCCAGTTAGGTCTTGGCTTTTTGGCTCTAAGGTGTGTCTTGTTTTCTTTTTTGTTTGTTTTGTTTCATTTTTTATTCGTTCTAACCTTTACCATCTCCATTTAGGTCTTGGTTCTTTAAGCTCTTTGACCCTAAGATGCATGTTTTTTTGTTTTTTATTTCATTTTGTTTGTATTGCTTATTTTGTTTCATTTTTTATTCATTCTAACTTCTACTCTCCTTCCATTTTGTTGAAGAAGGGAAAGAAAAAAAAACAAAAGTAAGAAAAATAAAAAAAAAATAAAAAATTAAACGTGTAACATATTTTTATTAAGATTGATGGTATTTGATATAAAAACTCTTTCTGGTACCGTTCACGTCTATTTTTCATACAAGAAATATTACGCTTTTTTCTCGTTAAATTACTAGAAAAATAGCATTTCAGTATTAAGACAAAAGTGTTCCTTGGTTTAAACAACACACTTTTTATTATCACTCTTTTCAGTTCGAACAAGTTTACAAGAGCTTAATAGTCCTTTAAAGACATAAAAATTTTGTTTTCTTGCGAAATTTCTTTAAAAGAAGGCGTAAACACGATGCACTAATCAGATAAAAGATGCTGAATAAAGAAAGTTTTATCGGCTATACTTTTTTCCGTCCAGAAAAAGTGAAACGGTACACGGGGCTGATACGATATACTCCATCTGAAAAGGAAAGTCCTACATCCTTTTACATGTGGATTCGTTACAGAAAGAGAAAGATATGTTGACGATTGTTACCAACAATAGACATATTATAAAGAAATATGATAAGCCTTATTTGATTAATTCAGATCGGCCTATGATGAATACTAAATACAGGATTTCAAAATACTTGACGAGTGTATTTTGTGGGTTACCTATTGATATAGAAACTAGAAACAAGTATTTTTTAAGAATACGTCAATTATTATTGGATAAACTTGTAGTTATTGAAAATAGATTGAAGAAACAAGAAAAGAACAGACAAACTACAACTTATATTAAATTTAGTCATAGTAGACGAACATGGTATTTGGGGTTCTACATCCCATGCTCGTTTTGTAGTAACGTCTGTGCTTATGTGATGTCAAGAAATAGAAAAGTTTGTCAAAATTGTCGTTCGAAGGTGATAGTAACTCCTACACCTCCGTCGCAAAATGTGTTCAAGGATTTTAGTAAAGTTAAACAAGTAATAAGTAAACGTGTTGGCGTGTCTTATACAAAAAAAGTTTCGATGGATGGTGGAGCACGTAAATATGCAGTTACGTATTCAAATTTGCAGATAAACAAGCAATTTAAGACGTTGAAAGAACAAGAGAAGTATAAAAAGAGGTTTAAAAACAGCCTCAAGAGTAATAAAAATAAATGGCAGGTTATAAATAATGGAATTGGATCAAAGGTACTCATTTCCAAACATAAGTTGAAACGTAGAGGGGATATCCTTAAGAAACATTACATATCAGAAAAAGAAATGGAGTTTCTGGTAGATCAAGTTACAAGTAAAGCTGGATACAAAATGTTAATAGATGATATTTTTATGAATCATTCTTTTAACGAAGAGTATTTTTTTGAATTAAGAAAGAAAAAAGACACTTCTTTTGAACGAAACGATGGTAAGTTAGCTGAACAGTCAAGTAGTGCTAGTCAAAGTGCTACAATAGACAATATTACTATGAACCTTCAGGAAATGGAAGTTAATGGACAGGATAATGTCACTCCTTGGCAAGAAATACTCAATAGACGAGAACCTATTACAAGGGCAGAATTTCATCGGGGTTTGAATAGTATTAGAGATAAAAGTCTTTTAACGACATATTGTAATGGGGTTAGAAGAGGAAGGCGTGGACGTGGTGTTACTCATGACTACGTGATTAATCAGTGTATAATTAAAGCTCGTAAATTAGAGCAAGGTATGTTGTTTTAAGGGGACATAAGTATATAATTAGTTATTCTTGTTTTGTTTTTCTATTTTCTTTTGTGGGATGGCTAATTATTAAGAAACAAATTATTAAAAGGGAAAAAATGAATAATTATTTTAGGATTTTAGATCATTCCTTATCTGATAATATTTACATAAGGCTATTTGGTTAGAAAGAAAAATATATAGTCAGTTTTGTCTATCGAATTTATTTTTAGTTTCACATCATTCCATATTTGATTATATTTACATATGGCAAATATTATTTGAAAGAAAAATATATAGACTTCCCAGTGTTTTATCGAATTATTTAGAAAAATTGTTTTTGTTTATTTCATCATTCTGTATCCGATAGTATGTACATACAACTTTTTTAATAAAGAAAGAATCATACATGCACGTTATTTATAATGTGTAGTTAGGATTAAAATTTGTTGTAATGAATTACCAACTTGTGCTAATTTAAAAAAGCAAAAGCCAGATCTATATGATGAAAATTGGAGATGTAATTTTTGTAAAATAAAAGAAGAAACCTTTGACCATTTTTGGAAATGTAGTAAGATTCAAAATGTGGTGCAAGATATACTCATACGATTAAAAATTTTTTTAGCTAAAATTATACAGGAATATTCAAGAGATGATATAGATATACAAGAATTAAAAGTTAAAATTAATGAGCTTGGTATGTGGGATATTGGACGCTTATATGATTTTACATTTTTAATGTAGAATCAAGTTAGTTGTCAGTTAATAGAATTATTAAGGTGCTATAAAATAACTGAAGAAAAAATGTTGTATAAGGTACTGAAACAAATAACTGGGAGAGTTTTATTAGAATTCAAAGTGCTTATTTGGGAACTAAGGAACGAGTTACAAATAAAGGAAGAAAAGCGGTGCAGTATTAGCGTTAAAGATAAAGCTAAGTCACATAGTAAACGCACTGAAGTGGGTGTTAAAAATGTTGGCTGTAATATGTTAGAAAGTAATTGGAATAAATGGAATGATTTGGCATTCCATCGTAGCGGTCATTGGGCAAATTTTTAGGTAGATCATAACAGTCACCTTTGAATTTGAGGTCGCATCATGGTTTTTAATAATGATGTAATCATTTAGGTAACAGGTCGACTTGTTCTTTATGAAAAGTAGTCTTGTTTCATAATGCTTAATTCTTATATGTATTTGTTTATCTTATATTTTGTAAGTTTATATATGTAAGTAAGCGTGATTATAATAGGACATGNCAGGTCGACTTGTTCTTTATGAAAAGTAGTCTTGTTTCATAATGCTTAATTCTTATATGTATTTGTTTATCTTATATTTTGTAAGTTTATATATGTAAGTAAGCGTGATTACAATTTGTAAATAGTTATTTATGTGGGTAATCTAAACATAACGCCCACGTGATTGCAGTGTTTTTAAATATTAGATGTAGTGCAGAAATATTATAAAATCAATACATTCATATGTAAAAATGCCAATTTCTTAGTGCTCTTTAACTCCAGTAGTTTATATGAAAATGTTTCCAATTTTTTTTTTTATTTAAATTTGATTAAATTCATCTGATCTGATCTAAATCTGATATGGTATGTGTTACCTATAAACCACAAAAATATTATGTGACTTTAAAATTTTATATGTTAAGAATTAAGCAATAAAATACAAATTTAAACTGATAAATTAATAGAATAGTATATGCTGAATATTTCTATCAGTTTACTTTTTAAGAATTAATATAAAAATTTAATTTTATTAAGTCTGAAAGTTAAGAATAAATCATATAATCTATATGGAAAAATGGAAAATTTCGTACTGGTGATCAGGATAAATGTTACGTAAATTTTATATGAAAATAGCATTTTTTTTTTATTAATTTCCTCACGCAATAATAATAATTTGTCTATCTAAGAGAAAAACCAGAGGAAAAGAACAGATATAAGACAATAACGGGAAGTTTACAAAATGACCAAGGCTATCTGATAGATGTGATGAATTAATGGAGTGATGAAAATGACAGTGGATAGGATGAAGAATTTAGTTTATTAAATGAAAAAGAAGTTTTTGAAGATAAATCTTTTAAGTTAACCTGATCAGATAACATCCATTTGGAAAAAAAAAACGTGGACTATATCTTACTGGGAAAAACATATTTTGATAAATATAGACCAAGTGGCTCTTTTACGAAAACTGAAAAAGGAACCATAAAAATATCAACTTTTATGAATAATAACCCAATACTGGATGATTTTGAAGACGTTCTTAATGATATGGATAAGGAAGAATGAAATCAACTTGATGTGAATGAAAGAATTGAAAATTTAAAGACTGACCTTAAAGAAAAGTAGAAAATTTTAACAGTTGCTAAATATAACAGGAAACATGCAATATATGAGTATTTGAAAAGATTAGGTGAAAATGGAAAATGAAAGATAAAAGCTAACAAAGAAGCCATACAGTTGATTTTTATTGATTGTGCACCATATAGAGCAAGATCAATTTAATACTGGGCAAATTTTTGGCTTCAGTATAATCATCTTCCAGTAAGCTGTCAAGAAAAGCATCAAAAAATAATACGATTGATAGATAATGAAGATATAGCAGAAGAATGCCATATATGGATTTGATCTTAAGGTGAAACAACCACTCCATTGAAGTTTAAGGAATTCATTGAGCAAAAATTGCTTGCAAATTCTGGAATAATAAAAAAAAACCATCAGTATGAAAATTGCAACATGATGATTAAATGTTCTTAATTATACTTTTCAATCATAAAAGCAAGATAAGAAGATTAACTATTAACACATTGCTATACAAAAAAATAACATTATTATTTAAATATTAAGGTATTTATTATGATGGTCATGAACGTCTTGATGTTGTTGAATATCAAAAATCCTTTCTAGACGAAATCTATAGTTATGAGAAGTATATGGTAAAATATGAAGATAAAACTATGGAATAAATACCACCAATACTTGAATCTGATAATAAAGAGATAATTCTTATAACGCATGATGAATGTATCTTTTATTCTAATAATGAAAAATTAAATGTATGGGCGAAATTGGGAAAATTGCTATTACGCAAAAAAGGAAATGGACGTTCGATAATGGTTAGTAAATTTTTGTTAGAGGAATGTGGACGACTTAAATTAAATATACAATAGTATTAAGAAATCCTTTTATACCTAAAAAAGCACATGTGTATCTTCAACCAGGCAAAGATCATGAAGGATATTGGACAAGTAAATACCTAATTAATCAAATAAAAATAAAAGCAATTCCCATTTTTGAAACCCTTTTTCCCAATTGTATTGCATTATTTGCATTTGATAATAGCTCAAACCATGCAGCATTTAAACCTGATATTCTTATTGCAAATAAAATGAACTTAAAACCCAGTAGTAAACAACTAAAAATGAGGGATACAGTTTTGAATTAAACAATTAGCACCAATCGATGGTAAATGAAAATGGAGAGCCCAAGGGAATGAAACAAGTTTTAATTGAACGAGGCTGATTGTCAGTTGTGTAAAGATAAAGTGGATGATATAACCTGAATTGATTGTTGTGCACGCTGGATTATTTCACTACAATCTGATTTTATGAACAAAAAAGTGCATTAGAGGAAGCAATATTAGAAGCTGAGCATAAATGCATTTTTTATCCAAAGTTCCATTGTAAACTTAACTTTATTGAAAGATATTAGGGGCAGCAAAAAGATATGCTTATAAAAATTGTGATTATTCATAATCAAGCTTACAACGTGTTGTTCCTACAGTTTTAAAATCTATTGATACAAAAATGATAAGAAAATTTGCAAGGAAAACGTAGCGTTATATGGATTTATATAGAAATAGAATTACAGGTAAGTTGACAGAATATGCAGCTAAAAAATATAAACCCCATTGCTGTACTCCTGAATATGTATTAGATGAGTTAAATAAATTTGAATAAAATTAAAAAATGCGCATACGCAATCTTTTTTGTCACTGAAGTCACGTGCAAATAGTATCATGTCACGTGAAAATCTACATTTTAAAATTTCGGACTTTGTGATTTATAGGTGATGCACACCATAAATCAGATTTTTTTCAGAGCATTATATGCAATTACTTATTATTAAAAAATATTCAGATTGTAATTTAAAAGAAATTTATATAAAGAATAAAAGAACTGAAAAAGTATTAAACAAAAATGTTTGTTAACTATAAATGATATTAACAGATCAATTAAGATTAAAAGTATTAATGATCAATATATATTAGATGTATCAGTATTTGAATGCTTAGTACAAGCTGAAAATAAGTATTATAAGATTAGTAAATAATGTTACAAATCAGATTCTTTCTAATTTATTGATATTTATTTATCCATTAAGAATATATTGAGGATTAAAGACAATTTAGAATTTGTTAAAAATATAGAAGCATATACAAATAGATTGTTTAAAAAATATACATCTACATCAGCTAATATGGAAAGTACTTTTTTGATTAGTAGTTAGAATTCAATGTTAATATTACTGAGCAATTATATTAGTGTTATTAATTTGTCTTAAAGATGCTAATATTACAATATATATTGATATATAAACTATTTAACCAATTAGAAAAAGAATCTTTACAATAAATATCTAGAGGAAAACATTAATATAATGCATGGTGAATACTAGGCTTCAAATGATTAAATTCTTTAACTTGACAATATTGTTAATTAAAGTTAAAATGCATGATAATAGTAAATACAATAATATAGTAGATAAACTAGCTAAAGACACCCTAAGTAAAAATCCTACTTTTATTGATCCAAGACTTTTAATTAAAGCTCTGAACAGATTAGTTCAGTGCAGTTTTTTTCAGTTCAAGTAAGAACTAAAACCAAATGAAAACTGAACTGGAACTATCCAGTTCAGTTCAGTTCTACTCAATTTTTAAAAAAATGTGAAAATTAGAATAATTTGACAACCAGTAATTGTACAGAACTCAACTATAGCTTATTATAATCGTCTCATTAAGACACATCAAATGGCGGTAAGATTATGTTTCCAGCATCGATACATCACAAGATATTTTATGCTAAACATTTTTTAAAAACTAGTGTTAAAGGATATCTATTAATCCTAGAGAAATGATCTTAGCATCATTCAATAGGTCTTAATGAGACGAATCTAATGAGCTTTTTTTCATCCTTTTTTGATTACTATGTGACAGGTTATCCCAATTTTCGCATTTTTTTAAATTTTTGAATGTCCAAAATAAAAATTCAGATGTGTGGTATAACTCTTTATTTACTGATTGTATAAGAACAAAATTTAACTCATTGGAATTATCTCAAGGCTATATCCAATATAAATTTGGGAATTTTATGGATTTTTTAAATTTTATATCAAAAAAAAACCTTGCCTTTATTCTTTATAATTGCCAAAAATGTGCCTATCTGTCAATCCGCGGATTGGAACTAATTAAAATCACACTTTAATTAAATAAGTTATCTAATTTATTGGTTATTTATTTCATCTGCTAATCACGTTTGAAATAACTACCTCGATTTGCATTAAAAATAATTAGTCGTGCATGATTGGTTATAATTAAGAAATAAAAATTTGATTTCTACCATATTATGTATTGCTTAAATTTCATTTTTAAAACCAATTTCTTAATTTCAATTCGTCATTCTTTTCATTGTTCTCTAGCAATGATAAATATTTACAATGTCAGAGACAATGACAGAACATACAACCCCAGCTCACTTCGATCACAATAAGCTTTATTTTTCTGATGGTAAGAAACCTCTATATTAGCAAAAACTGCGTTAATATTTTCGCTAAAAATTCACTTAATACTGCAGATTTATCCAAAATTTCCATTTTGCAAGTGAACTCTATATTCTCATTTGTACTTGCATCCATTTTTGTCACATTAATATGTTGGTGTGAAAGGTTTTTAAATTATTATTATCATAAAAAATCAAAGTATGATCGAAATCAAAAAAGATTTAGATCGATTGCAGTGAAAACTCTTAGTTATGGAATATTAACAACTTTAAGACTTTCTTACATGTTATTAATAATGTCTATGAATTCACAAATATTTATTATAGTGGTATGAATTATATTAATTTTGATAAATTGATTTTCTTATTTGAAACGAATTATGTTAATTTGATTAATTGTAAATTCTAGGTGACGGGCTTGACTACAGGACAATTGATCGTAGAATATATACGATCGATTCCGTAAGTATTTTTTGATTTTTTTAACGTATATATAATTTTTAGTAACATAATTATTTTATTTGTAGAATTTACCAACAATATACAATTCACCCTTCATCAGAAATTACACCTAACACTATAGAAGGTTCTGTGTTAATGGGAAATAATAACAATTATAGAGATGAAATAGAACTCGAATCTCGTAATTTTGTTATTGAAAATATCAATAATGAAACCAAGGAGGAAAAGAGGACATAAGTCGTGAATAAATATGCAACTAGAATCAAAACTTGAACAGATCTTTTAATAGCGTCATTTCTTTCCAGCTAAATTTATTTTTTTCCTAACATTTAATCCACTTTTTGAAGTCTAAATTACTAAATTGATTAAATTGATAAATTCCCGATAAAACGCCAAAATATTCTTTTTGTTCCCTAAAAATTTGTTGTACTATTAGGCATAATTTGTTGAATATTTCGAAATAAACCTGATCTGCGATCTATTTACATTTGATTTAAACTGAAGATTTTTATGTAACATAAATAGCAGAAAGTTACCGTTTATTCTTTTATTAATAATAAAATATTTAATACAAACAGTTATGTCTGCTAATCAAGAAGAACCAACAGCTGTTATTTTCGATGCAACAGAGGAAAGTAATTTATTAAACACAGAACGTAACGATTCTTTTGAACTAAGTGACGATGATCAACAATCGTTTATACAAGCAAGTGAACGGCAAAGCGAAATTTTTGATTTCGATGATCATCTAATACCGTTAAGTTTAACGGAAACACAAAGACGTCCCGCAACTTTAGAGAAAGAAGTAACATTCTTTAATGGACTAACTTTAGTGGTTGGTTTGATGATCGGATCTGGGATTTTTGCATCACCTGGCCCAGTTGCATTACATGCGGGTTCAGTTGGAATGTCATTAGTTGTATGGATAATTTGTGGGCTTCTAGCCTGCACTGGAGCACTTTCATACGCGGAATTAGGATCTGAAATTCCATTATCTGGTGGTGAACATGCATATTTAAATCATGCATATGGAAGTTTACCTGCTTTCTTATATAGTTGGACGGCCATAACCTGTTTAAAGGTATATTGAAAGAATTTTTAACTTTTTAATACACTGGTGACTTTGAATTCATTGTCATCATCGATTCTAACCAATATTTCTTGAATAGCCAGGAGGTAATGCAATTATTGCTGTGATTTTTGCAGAATATATAAATCGTATGATTTATTATTCAATTTTTAACGATGATGCAGAACATCTTTCAGATATAACTCATCTCTGGCTAAATAAAATAGTGGCATCTTTATGCATAATCATTATCTCTTTTATAAATGCATATAGTGTTCGTTTAGCCACTAGAACGCAAGATATATTTACAGCCTTGAAATTGATCACTTTAGCGGTTATTGCTATAATAGGATTTATTGTGTTGGGTAAAGGTGGGCTTACAAAAAATTTTGATGGGGATATATTTGAAGGTAGCTCAACAAGAAGTAGTGACTATGCATTAGCCTTTTATTCAGGTTAGTTATCTTGTGTGATCACTTTTGAATTTTCATTGAAAGTTTAACGTATACACATTTTTAAAAACGCGTATGTTTAAATTAGGTCTTTGGGCATACGACGGATGGTAAGTTTTTCAAATATCTAAAGTTTATTAGCGGGAAGGTTGGCATTGCCTCCATTAGAATTTTTATCAATCACTAAGAGTCAGATTTTATTTCTTTGTGCGATTTGCATTCAGGAACAATGTAAATTATGTTGCTGGAGAAATGAAAAATCCTGCTCGAGATCTTCCACGAGTGATCATGGTTGGTTTACCAATTGTGATTGTATGTTATACTTTAGCAAATGTCGCTTACTATGCTGTATTGCCATCATCTATTGTTGTCAAGACTAATGCTATAGCGTTAGTAAGTATAATTTTTTTTTCATAAAGATTTAAATAAGGTTGTAATTAAAGGTTTAATGGTTTTGATTTTTATATAGGAATTTGGTAGGAAAATTTTTGGGCATGTAGGGGGTATTGTTTTTGCTCTTTGCGTTGCTGCTAGTTGTTTTGGTGCAGCAAATGGAAGTATTTTCACAGGATCAAGGTTGATTTATGTTGCTGGTCGCGAGGGTTATTTACCTACTTTCTTTGGAAAAGTTCACGGAACTTGGAATACTCCTACTGCAGCATTGGTTATGCAAGCAGGATTGACCATAGCAATGATTATTCCAGGAACATTTATGACATTATTGAATTTCGTTTCTGTTGCTGCATGGATATTTTATTTCCTTACAACGTTCGGATTATTATTATTAAGATGGAGAGAGCCTAATTTAAAAAGGTCAATACATCAATAATAACATTTAATTGTTAATATTAAACGTTAACACAATTTTTTATTAAATAATAGACCGTACAAAGTTTGGCTTACCACACCTATTATATTTGGCTGTGTTGCTATATTTTTAATCATAATGCCTTTCGCACGTGTTCCGTTGCAATCACTTGCAGCAGTTGGATTTATCCTTGCCGGAATACCATTTTGGTATATAAGAGTAAAATGCAAGGAAACATTTTCGATTAAAGGTAATCATCAGATCATAATTTGAACGATTTAAATTAATTTTTTATGTTAACAGCCGATTTTTTAATTTATCCCCTTTCAATAGCAATAAAGAATCGTTATTCCAACTTAAATTTAAATATTAAGAATTGGAAATTTCGACAAGGATATCAAAAACAGGATACGATGGAAATGGAAATGCATTAAATAATCTAATATTTATTTATAATTAATCTTATTGTTAAATTATCACTCTCCTGTAATATATTACACTTAATCGAGATTGAGGTTTTTGTTATTATTTGGATAAGAGCTACATGTAATGTAAGTTCGCTGTACAAACATCTTCTAGCATTAATATGGTGTTAAAATTACACATTTTTTTTTTTAAAAAAAAAAAATAATAGAAATATTCTTTAAATAATAGATAGCTATTTTTATTGTAATAAATTCATAATAAAATTCTCTTTTAAGCCAGATTATCTTTTTAATCTGAGCTAAATAACAAACCAAAATTTAAATTAGTATTAAATTAAATATTATACAAAATCGGTAATAAATGTTATGAGATCACATATATATATATTTTTTTATAATAACATATGCGTGATTAATCATCATCGTGTTGAGGATTATCTAATAAACCCACACCAGATGTTGATATACGAGAAGTAGCAATTATTCCCGATGTAGAGAAATATGATTGACTTTTTTGTACTAATATAGCATAAGAATTAACTACAAAAGCAAAATAAATCTGTTTTTTTATGAATAACAATTAATTAGTACTTATAATGCTTAAAAAATTTAATTTGAAAAAATAATAAACTTACATGTACAAATGTTACCGCAACCAAATTAGCAATTGCAATAGCTGATTCAGTTTTCCAAGCTGGTAATGTTGGAGAGGTTCCTAATACTGTAGCTGTTTCATTATTTGATTTTTGATTTTCAGTTTCTGCTAATGGTAAATGATCCACTACAAGATACCACCATATTCCAAAAATTATTGTGAATAATCCATTTGCAATTAAATCTATCCAATAAAATATAGAATAATATCTAATTATTTTTGGATTTTCCTTAAAAAGAAAAAAATAAGATTAATAATAAATTATTAGGAAACTTTCTTTATTTACTCTTTAAAATAATAAATATATAAATACCGGGAAAACTCCATAAAACAGAAAATAGACAATTGCTATTGATGCTATAATAGAGTATATATATGATATAATAGATACAATTCCACCTCCATAAAATAGTGTCGGTATTCCGAAAAAACCGGAAACCTTATTAAGCTGTTAATAAAAATTTAATTAACCGTTAATTTGAATGAAAAAAACCAAGAATACAAGATTCTTTCAAGTAAGATTACCAGGGCGAATACTGTAATAAGAACGACACCTGATTTTTTTCAAGACAAGATTATTAACAAACAATTAATAAATTAAAATCACAATTATGTATCCGAATTAATTACCTCGTTGTAGATCAACAATTCCACAACATTTCTTGAATTGTAACTTGGTGGGTGCAACCATCATAATAATAATATTATCAACGGATATATTAATTAATAAAATCTGAAAAGGAGTTATTTAAAATTATACAAGATTTAAATAAATATTTAGTAGATAAACAAATATTAGAATTCTACGAATCTTACCCTACCTTTTTTGGTTTTGACTTTTTTGACTTTAATCTATATCCGAAAATTTGTTAAAAACTAGATCATATGAAAGTTTTCCCTTTTGAAGATGCAACAAGTTTTTGACATTTACGTTTTTGAAATGCAAGTCTTAAACCACAGATTCTTTCCTTATTAAAATAAAGTGGTCATAAAACTTCTTGAAAATCTTGGATCTAAATTTAAAAACGTTATTGCTAAAAAAATATAATTTTACACATAATGGATTACCAAATCTTAAATCTTGGCAAAACAAGAACACAAGATAATTATTAATTGAAATGATTGTTAGATTGTGTAACATTCAAAGATCGTTTCATGCATAAAAAATTTAGTATAGTAATTTTAGTATTGTTTGGTCATGACGATCTTTTGAACCAACCACTCTTTTATTAAAAAAAAAAAAAAAAAATTCTTTTTTTGTTTCATTAATTCTTGGCAAAGATTACAATCTAGATGAACAATTTTATTTTAAGAATTACCGATATTAAATCCTGAAATCCTTGTAGCATATTTGTGGCCGTGAAGATAAAAATTATATAATTTTGCGCCATTACAGCAAAAATTCTTATTTAATATCAATTTGTTTACATCTAAAGGACCGCAAGCTTTTTTTTACGAAAACATTTCGTAAATTATATTTTTACTTTTGATACACGTTAAATTAATTATGTTAATTATGTTAATTCGTTTTTATCACATTATGGTCCGCTACACATCCGTGTCACTCATGTGATTTAGTAATTGCAAATCATACCCGCGTGAGTTGCATGTGCTTTTTAAGTATCTTCAATGGCCGTAGTTTGTATCGATGTTAAGATTAGGGCAAGTTTCAGATTTAAAATGCATGCCAAGAACTTATGCCAAGAATTTTGAAATCTCAATTTGTTAACCTTTATATAAAAATTTGCCAATAACTTTTTTTAACTTAAATGAAAAAAATTTAAGTAATTTCATTTTAATTAAATTGAAATAGAAGAGGAAAAAGCAACGGTTCTTAATTTTCGAGCTAAACCAAATTTGATTCCCCGGTGATGAATATGATGAATAACAAATTGGGAATATGTGTAGTCGATCCGATCAGTTCCCATTCATCGCGTTAGACCAGATCTCAACTAAAGTAACCATTTCCCTTATTCGGGTCATATGTTCTTTGATTTATAAATTCGCGTCGCGGCCTGCGATTGTTTGTCAACATTCCAAACGAGGTCTTGATCAAGTTAAATAGTATGTGACACGATTTCGAACAAAGCTCCAACTAAGGAATTACCCGTAGAAATCCGGATTGAAACTAGGACGCTACCCGAACCCATTGCATAACCAAACATGCTTGTTTATTACAAATTAAAAAACCTGAATTTAAATAAAAATAGCATGCATTTACTTTGTAGGACAATCGTGGCACTGTTTTTAAGAAGGCTAACAAAAGAGTGATTTACTTTGCATAAACAGCCACCAACAAAATGTCATCTATCTTTTGTATACATATTGGGTGTATATATATATATTCACTGCATATTAACAATATATACTTTAACTATACATACTATATAATATTTCTCATTGAGCTTTTTGTTTTGAGAACAAGTTCGAATTTATTATTGGTTGTTTTAAGATAAAAAAAATTCTTTAAATAAATATTCATTAAAAAAATGTTGACCCCGCCACTTTTTCAACAGTGTTGCCACTGGTTCAGATTTTTCTCCCGCCCAATGTTCTCTAGAATTCTTTGGCGGCATTATAAAAAAAAATTACCCCAGTCCTTTATATAAAATAGACCAACAAATTGATATGCACAACTAAACGCGCTCGAATTTAAACTTCAAAAAAATTTTCAAATTTAGAAATTAAATTGTTGATAATAAAAAAAAAAAACCATTTACACAAAAGTTTATATAAGAGGTAAAATATTAAAAAAAAAAGGCTTTTTTTTTGTTTGTTTTTCTCTTCATTATTATTTTTTTTTAAAAAAAAAATCAAGAAAATAAATTTGTATATTAAACAATTTTTTTTTATATTTTTTTCTTTTTTTAGCCGTTCTTGATTAAAACAATATTTTCAATAATATGGATGTTGCTTCGATATGTTTACCTCTTGTTGATAAAACAATATCAACTAGCGCGTCTCTTCCAAAGACAAATGTGACTTCATCGACAGAATCGCTTAAAAGTACTTTACCTCCAATATCGTCACTTCTATCACAACATCCTGATAAGACATCTCCCACGCATCATGAAAATCATACCGCGCAACCTTATTTACATACTAAACCTAATTCAGTTCAATTAACTCAGCTTGAATCTCAAAAGAGTTCAGTTAATAGTTCACCTTCACTTATAAATCTTCATCCATTATCTTTGGAAACTCCAAGACAACAATCATCCACTCAAATACATCCTAGCCCTCCCCTTACTACACCAAATTTAAGTAGATCCAATTCGAACATTCTCTTAAATGAACAGAATAGGTCACCAGAATCTAAGCATTCATCAGAATCAGTCGCGAGTCTGTCAAAATCTAGTCCTTTATTAAATCCTCACGAAATTAACGTTTCACAACAAAAACAACATTCTTCGTTCCCGAAAAATTCGTTTTCTCATTCAAATACGCTTACACAACCATATCAACAGTCGCAATGGCAGAGGCAGCATTCACAAATGTTACCTTCAAATCAACAAGACGCTATACCTCCAAAAGATACAAAACGGGATTCTGTAATACAGCAACAACAACAGACTATGCAATATGATGCAGCTATTGCTGCTGGTGGACTCCCTTCAGAATATCATTATTATCGTGCTTCTTTTGAAAAGGACGTTTATCAATCTGTCACTCGAGGAACCGAACGAACAATGGCTGATTTGAGAAAGGTTTATTTATTTATTTAATTATATATTTTTACATTTTTTTTTATTTTAATAATAATTAAACAAAATGATTCCTTATTATCAATCTCAGATAATTGATCATTGTGCAATTATCGGCCAATTCGCTACTCAATATGGTGAAATATGCAGTCGGACTGGAAATAGTAGGCCAGACATTTGGCCAATGCAGCCAGCAATCCCCATTCCTACGGAAGCACATGTCTCCGAAATGATAAATAAAGCCTTTGATATTCTTTACGTGCTAAATGCTTTAAAAGATGAAGCAAGTCGTCGTGGCCCGGTTGGTAATTGAGATCATTTTAAAAAAGAAAAAATTGTATCAAAATCATTAATTTTATCTTCAACCAATAGAGTGAAATTGAACTTATCAGAAACAAACGATCAACTACAGCTGCTTCTTCTCGTCCAAAATATCGAAAACGAACGGTACGTTACATTATATGAAAAGGAATATTATATCGGTCAAGTATTCATATTAACTTTATGAAAATATTAGAAAAGACCTGCACCTCCGGGAAGGTGTCATTCATGTAATATACAAGAAACGCCCGAATGGCGACGTGGACCAGATGGAGCAAGAACGTTATGCAACGCGTGTGGATTGCGTAAGTATTTATTTTTTTTTTTTAAAAAAAAAAAAAATTTATAACGGTAGATTACTAAAATAAAATAACAAACTTACAGATTTTGCGAAATTAACACGTAAACGCGCACAAAATGCGATTCAAGAGCAACAGCAACGTTTAGCTCAACATAGAACCTATTTACATCATCCTTATCCACCACCATATTTACAAATTGCAAATCAAAATCAAAACGCATTAAATATAACACAATATCCCGGATTCCCACAACATAATGTTAATCAAAGTGGAAATCAATTTATAAATACACCACCACCTTCTACCTCAAGGGTTTCACAAGGAGGTTATTCATCCACAACACGAATTGAAATTGATTAATTAAAAAATTAATTCATTTTTTTAAGTTTTTTATATGGTATAAATTTATATTATTATTATATTTATTATATGAATTCTTTAAAGCCTTAGCTTTATTTATGTGTAAAATAAGTTATCTACTTTTATGAATATGAATTTTTGATATTTTATGTATAAGGAAATAATTTTAAATAATTTTAAATGTTAATAATAAAATTTAGTTCATTCTTTGTATTATTATGTATTTCAAAGCCCATTTCTCTATGTACGTGTATCAATAATGTATATCGAATTATTTAAAAAAATTTTTTTCAGACTTTGCCGCAACTTTAAATAAATTAGATAAAATAATCAATCTGCTGTCAAACAAAAACAGTAAGCCTGAAAAATAAGCCGCGATTTAAATAAATGTTTGATTCTTCTAGCCACTCAATTAAAGTTATACAAAAAGGCTTAGGTCTTAAAGAGGGCTTATTTTTATTAGGGCTGATTAAATTAAATCTTTAATTTATTGCTAAGCCTAGACAATAATTTGGCTGATTTGTATATTTTTTAAAATTATTTATTTGTCTTGTGATTTACATTATTCTAAGCCCAATATTGACTGATTTATCCGATAATTTATATTGTAAATTACTAAATTTGTGTCGTTAAATTTTTTTCTTTTCAGAAAGAAAATTTTGTGGCTGTTCAAAAGGAAAAAAAAAAAATCTTAATTTTACACATGCCAAATTATGTAATAATTTAATTTAATTGTTTGCACAGCACAGACCACGTACTACTATTTTTATAATTAAGGTTCTCGATGCGAAGTTCAAAAACTTATAGATTAAGATTTATCTTTCTATTTATATAAAATAAATTTATGCATTTTTTTTCAAATGTGACACATTATTAAGAAAAATGATTATTGAATGATTAAATTAAATTAATATATTACTCACTTTTCCCAATATTGATCAATTTGTACGCGTTTTTTTTTGCTGTACATGGATTTAACCGAATAAAGTTCGAATGCGCGCTAAAATCAACATATTTGTGAGACAATTAAATGAAATAATAAAAAAGCATGTCTTACAATGTTTGGCTCGGAATTGATTTACTTTTTTTTCGAGACTATTTCTTTACGGCTCGATTTTTAAGTAAGTTGAAGCGAAAGCCCTAGTTATTCATCGGTATGTTTTCCCTTTCAAATATCCTGTGATAAAAATAACTAGTTTATTATCTATTTCGGAATTCTCCGATTCGTAGGCGCAGGTGGCGCAGAGTTATATACTTTTTCCGCAATTTCTACACTTTTACTATTATTATTACCTTATTGTTATAATCATTAATATTATAAATGCATAATACATTATCATTATCATCATTATCATTATCATCATTATCATTATCATATAATTTAATATTATTATGATAATGCCAATTTTGGATTTCAATAACTTTTAATGGAAGTTGAATAACACCACCCTTTTCACCACATTTAGTAACACTAAAATATTCTTTCAACTTTGATTGGCAGAAAAAGTAATGTAACACGTTGTTTTAAATTTTTAAATTAGATCAAAAAAAATTTTTTTTTATCTGATTTACAATGGCTGCTCTTCCTATTTCTAACAAAGAATGCCTACCGTGGATTGTCCAAAAATTTGGCGGGACAAGCGTTGGAAAATTTTTAGAAAATATCACAGACACCATTGTAAGGTATGTATTTTATAACGTAAATTAATTTAATTTCTCTTCTAAATTTCAAGCATCTTAACTTTTTGTACTAGATCTCATTTAGAAAAGCACCGAGTTGCATTAGTTTGTTCTGCACGCAGTGGTAATACAAAGACGGAGGGAACCACTAATAGATTATTTAAAGCTTCTGAAGAAGCACTTAAGCATGGTTCCAAAGAATATGTTCGTATTGTAGATGAGATTTACGAAGATCATGTTAAAGCTTCTCGAGAAATTATTATTAAAAATGAAATTTTTAAAGAATTAGAAAATCAATTGCTTCAAGATTGTACAAAGCTCAAAAGTTTTTTAGATGCTGCACAAGTAAGTGGTGAAAACATATAAAAATTTATTTATATATGAATTTTAGGTAATTAATTCTTTTTCTTTATAGCTCATTGATGAAATATCACCTCGCTTGAAAGACAGTATTATTGGGGTTGGAGAAATACTGTCTTGTCGTATTATCGTAGCTGCGTTACAAGATAAGGTATTTATGCTCAATAAATTATTTTAATAAATAAATTACAAGAATTAAATTTAACGAAACTTTAATAACAATAATATCATTATTATTTAACCTATAGGGAATAAATGCTGAATTTGTTAAATTAGACAAGATTATTAATTTAGATAATATTATTGAACAAGGCTTCGATGCTAATAATTTAAATCAAAAATTTTACGATTATCTGTCACAGAAAATTGCAGATGCAGTTAATAAATGTGGAAATAAGATACCTGTTATTACTGGTAATTGTCTTTTCATTTTTTTTTTTTTTTTTATCAGAATGCTCATTAATTACTTTTTTTATTACAGGATATTTTGGAATGGTACCGGGAGGTATTATTGATAGTATTGGACGAGGTTATACGGATTTATGTGCAGCACTTTTAGCAGTAGGACTTAAAGCTAAAGAACTTCAAATTTGGAAAGAGGTTGATGGAATTTTTACGGCAGATCCTCGTAAAGTTCCCAATGCAAGACTTTTATCGATCATTACACCTGAAGAAGCAGCAGAACTTACATATTATGGATCTGAAGTTATACATCCATATACAATGGAACAAGTTATAAGATCGGACATTCCCATTCGTATAAAGAATGTGATGAATCCATTAGGAGAAGGAACAATTATTTTTCCTGATGCACCTAAAAAGTCTAAGAAAGGATCCCTTAAAAATGGATATCATAGAAGACATCCTACTGCTGTTACCATAAAAAACAATATTATTGTTCTAAATATCCATTCAAATCGTAAAATTATGAGCCATGGATTTTTCGCACGAATTTTTGCAGCTTTAGATACTTACGGTATTGTTGTAGATTTGATTTCTACAAGCGAAGTCCACGTATCTATGGCACTAGGTGCGGAAATCGTAAAAAAGGATTTACAAAAAGCATTAAAAGAATTAGAAAAATTAGGCGACGTATGTTGAATTTATAAAATATTGATATTTTGAATTTTCCTTGATTAATTGACTAAAAAAATTTTATTTGTAGGTTGATGTACTTGAAGGCATGGCAATATTAAGCTTAGTTGGTAAACAAATGAAAAATATGGTAGGAATTGCTGGTAAAATGTTTACTACACTTGCTGAGGCAAATGTGAATATCGAAATGATTTCACAAGGTGCGTCAGAAATTAATATATCATGTGTTATTAATGAATTTAATGCTGACAAAGCATTAAAAATTATTCACGACCAATTATTACCCCTATCTCCACCCGCATTATTACTTCACGATCAATTATTACCCCAATCTTCGCCAACTTTATCACTTCACGTACCCAAAGCTCCGCCTGCTTTATCAATTCACGACCAATTGCTACCCTAAGTCCCGCCTACTTCATTACATTTAATAATAATCTTAGATAGAGTTTTAATGTAATAGTGTAATAAAAAATATATATCAAAATTTCTTTGAAAAAAACAACAACAATAATAATAAAAATCTCATCACGTGACTATCTCGTGAACAAAAATAATAATAGTAATGTGCAGTATTGTAAAATTTGTAAATTAAAAAAATTTCGATCTTGTGTAACATTTAATAATTGACACAGATGCGGAACCAACCAAAGATCTAATCCCTTTATCTGCATAACAGGTTGTATATCAGGATATTAATAGTTTTTAATAATTAAACAAAAGAGGAGGTATCCGAGAATACGGAGATGTCGTGTATATCTTGGCTACCGATTTTTCTAATTCTAGTAATTAAAATATTCATTGATGAAATGAAAATGCTTGGCACGATTGAAAGACGATAAAAGATGATCAAAAATGTAATCAAATGTAATCTTTTATTGACATGAACTTTATCGGGAAATATCCGAAATGTCGCGATTTACCTTTTTTTGGAAGGAAATTACTTTTTGGAAAGGGATTATTTGGAGGGAGTAAGAATATTCGTAATCACTATTTGTATTTTATTTTGCAGCAAATAAAAATAAAAGTTACACAAGAAATAAACAAACATAATAATAATTAAATAATTAATAAAATGGTGGTTAACAAACAAACATGACGCAAATTAATCGGAAGTTGTATAACCGTATGACTAAGTTTAAATATAATTTTTTGAGAGCTTCTTAAATATTTATTAATCTACTCTAAATTATTTTTCAATCGTGCGATGTCATTTAACTCCCGTGTTAAAGATAATGCAGATTATACATAAATTCTTGGCGATGTACGAATTACTTGGCGAAGTAATGTATAATCGTAAGTGTGATGTTTACTTTATTTGTTATTCAAAAATATGTGATTAATATTCACGAACTTTTATACTGAAATATTTATTTTAAAAAAAAGCCAAGAAAAAAAAATTCTCGAATTGGATATATGGCGGAAATTGTAATCTTCAATTACTAAATTTAAAATTTAATAATTATTAATTAAACAAGTTTGTTTATATTCATTGATTAATTGGGAATATATTGATATTGTAACTTTAATAATAAGCTAATATATACAAAATATAGTATTACTATACTTAATATTTTACCCAGAATAACAATATACTGCTTTGTTTTATTTAGATGACACAATTTATTAAATCTAATAACCATATTTATTCCTCACTCTCGATAATGTACTTCTTGATACCCAGTAAACTTTCCCTTCTAACCTTTCAAGTTACTTCGAATTAACATTACTTTAGCTTTATTTTTAATTAATAAAGCTTAGAGATTTTTTGCTTAAAGTTTTTCCTTTCCTTATACAATCCGTTGATTTCTGTAATATAAATTTTATTTTCGGCCCATATATTTGCACACTTATGACATTAAGCAAGATATTAATAAGTTTCATTTCACATACAATTTACTAGATTTACTAGTAATGTATAATTTTTATTATTAAAATAACTCTGAATCTTACCACTTTTATTATTTTTTTTCTAATTAAATGCCTTCATCTTATTAGATAATATGGACTTATAGATAATTTTATTAAATTAGATAAAGCAAATGTTAAAGTAGAAATTATCAAAAATATTAAAATACTAAAATGCAGAAAGCTTTTTATTTTTTCAAATAAAAAGTATATTTAAAACATAAAAGTAATTTAAAACATAAAATAGCAATTTAAAGCAATTTAAAACATAAAATAGTAAATTTTTCTAAAATATATTTTATAACAGAAACTTAAATAATTATAATTAAAGTTTTTCAACTATAATTTAACTTTTACATATTATTTAATATAATATTTTATTATAAAATATTTTAAAGAGTTTAATATTAAAATTTTGTAAATTTATCAATCAAAACCATGTAAAATTTAAGATATTATGAATATTTAAAATAATATTTCTTTTTCAAATTTTATATTCATTTATAAACTATATTATTAAAATTATAAATAATATCAGTATTAACTACTACTGGTAATAAGTAAATTGCAAATTAATATAGTGTATTACAAAAAAAACTGGAATTACCAAATTATATATGAATAGCTTATTTGAAAGATAGATTTTATAAATAACAAATTAATATAAAATTTATTCAATAATTTTTTAAAAATTTTTTATAACTATTTTAGAGCAAATTTATATTTTTTGCATAAAATACTTTATATTATTAAAGAATTTTTTTTTTATTTGCATTTTTTCTATCTATCTTAATAAAATTCAAATGAATTTGCATCTATTTTTTAATTTATGAATTTCATGTCAAATTTTTCTTTAAAATTATTAAAATTAACAATTTTTTTAAAAAGTAAAAAAGCATTAAAATCCTAAATGATATTAAAATGTAGCTAAATGATAAAAATTGGTTTTATCTTTTAAGTTAAAATGTGAAGTTATTATTGATGAATAATTATGTTATTTAAATAAACTACAGTCGGACTTCTATATAATCACCGAGTCTGTTACAAGAAAATTGGTGATTACATAGAAGTGTGATTACTTGGAATGAGGCCTCTATATATGTTTAATCTGCTTAACCTCTGCCCAATTACAAATTTGGTGATTGATATTATTACTATCATACTAATAGCTAAATATTGTCTTTTAGCAAGTATCATAAATTTTAATACTAATAAATAGAATGTGTTATGTAAAAGGCGCACTACTCACTGGTGCTGTGCATTTGTATATCCAACACATTTCTGCCAATCAAACGACTGATAATCAAACCAATCAGAAATTATGTGATTACAAGGAAGATTTTATATATTAATAAAACTAATATGTACGTTGCATGATTATTTCAGTGATAGTGATTATAAAATATACGTGATTATAAGAGGGTTTTTTAATTAATTTTAAGTCAGTTACATAAAATTGTGTGTTTATAAAGAGTTGTGATTACATAGGAGGTGATTACATGGAGGTCCGACTGTACACATATTTTTGTAATTTGAATTATTTATTAGTATTTTTTATTATATACTGAAATTATGATAATTTAAAGAATAAAATTTCCATTATAAATATTTCTTTATTGCAGATTTTTTAATATTTATTTTTTGGCATTATTCTAGAACTCTAAATAATACTAATACAACTCATATTTGAATTTTCTTAAAGTTTATATTAAAATTTTTCAAAAATTACATATTACAGAGGTATTTTCAAAATTTTATTATCCTACATATCCTATTTTTAATACAACCAGTAATTTGATTTTAATAAAATTTATATCATTGGATTTGGCTTGATAAAAGGATTTTAATGATATTAAAATCAACATTTTTAACTTTAATATTAACAGAATTATACCATAAAATTTAAATTTAATTTACCAATATTTTATAAATGTAATTTAATTTCTGTTATATTTTATGCTTTAAAGTAAATAATTATTACTAATTTTTTTAAAAAATAATGTAAATACTAAATATTTATAACTTTAAAAGATATTAAAATGTAATCTTGGATTTCAGATTTACTATACAATTTATACAATATAAGTTGAGTTTATTTAAGCATATAATAATATGTATTTTTATCATGTGAATAATATTCCATTTTTTTTGTAATATCTATATATATAGTTAGATTTCTATATATTTACCTAATTGGTTCAGCAAAAAACAGTAATTATATAGAGTTGTAACTATATAAAAGTTAATTGATTAATAATAATATTATATAGGTTAAGCAAAAATAAATGCTTATAGAAAGGTATTTTTATATAGAAAGTGATTGTATAGAAATCTGATTGTATAATATATAAATAATTTATTTTAAATTTAAAAATTTAATAAATAATTCTTATAATTTTTGATTTAAATATTTTATAATCTTAGATTCATAGGTTATATCTGCAGATGGGCAGGGAGTAATTTATTTAGAATAGGTTATTAGGTTTTGATTCATATAACTTTATCTTTTAAATAAAAAACACCATTTCCTTTAAGTATAATAATAAAAAAAAAAATAAAATAAAAATATTTTATAATCTTTTAAAATGTATTTTATATTAAATTTAATAATAATTTAAACTATATATACTATTTAAATTCCAAATTTCAAATCTCAAATTATATTGAATTTTGGCAATATATATAAAATATACACTAATATTATATTTAACAATTTCATTATATTTTATTATTAAATTCCATTTACTAAAAATTGAATCAAAATTTGAATTATAACCTATTTTATATTTACTATAAAAGAAAACAAAAAATTATTAGAGAATAATGCTTTTCAACTATTAAAAAATTTGGATATAATTATTAATTAATTTATCATTTTTTTTTTAATTTTAAAATTTGGTTGAACCTTTAATATTACATAACTTATGAAATTCTAAAGCCTCAAATCCATTTTTACTGGTATAATAAAAAATTCAGATAGATGTATTTATAAAATAATATTAAGGTTTGCCTTTTCTATCAATCAAATTTGCAAGAACTAATATTTGTATTTATAAGTTAGGTCTTTAAGATAAAATATAGAACTTGATGTAGCTGAAAAGAAATGATATTTAATCATATCCTTGTATAATTGTTCGGGAAATATTGGTTCAAAAAGACTTTAGGAGGAATTTGTAACCAACTAATATGTGGAATTGGATCATAAAATTCTTTTAATTCATCAAAATTACTTGACGTTCATCAAAATAATTTGATAAAATTATGTTGTGCTAACATTCTTACCCCATTCAAGTATGTATTCCCAAATATCAAAAGCCCACTCTGTTTTTAAAAAAAAGAATGATAAGATCTCTCTTTAATGATATAATTTTAAAGGGTTACGGGACATTTTGCCGAAAGCCATTTCGCCGAAAAATAATCTCTGGTATGAGTTATTCATAATGTTGACCCTATTTTCCGGCGAAATTTCCTTTCGGCGAAATGTCCCGATACCATTTTGAAGATTCAAAAAGCATTTCAGGACTTTGACAAATATTATATAAATAATAGTTTCTCAAAAATCCAACAAGTTTCATGTTGAAATACTACTTGAAGAACTTTGATAAGATTATAAAACTTTTTCTCGATTTCAATTAAATAATTTTGAATATAATCGCCAAGTTTTTCAGATTCGATTCGTCAGTTGTAATTAAATTTAACAATTCTGTTTATCGAGATTGATGATTCGAGTATTTAAATTAATTCAATAATTTGGAAAAATATTTGGTTTTTTGACCTAGCACTTAAGAATTCTTCCATATTATGACCTTCTCCAGCTTGAATAGAATAATTAAATCATAATTCTTTCCTGTGGAAAAAAGTTGCTCGATATCTAGTGAAATCCGATAAAATTCCCGTAATTGTTTTTAATGCAGAACTTAGAATAAAAGTTAACGGCAAATACGGCACCGGATGAAATCTCAATTTCACGTGATTCATCTGAAATACAAAAACCATAACGCGGTTATCTATTTTTATCTTATTTCTGGCAACTATAATTAGCTGCTAAAAATAAGTAGGTACATGACATCTCAATGCAAATGTTTTTGTTTTTGAATACCTTGAAGCAAATATTCGAACTTACTTATCGGATGTAAATTGGGAATGTTGGGCAGGGCCGGTTTATTTTTATGGAAAGGGAAAAAGAGTCAATAAAAAGTTATTTATTCTTGTATAGAATGAACATTTTTTAAATGTTTTGTTATATTCGTAGTACTACCCCCAGAACATATATAAGTTTTACTGCAATAAGTACAGGTAGCTCTTTTATTATATTTAAAATTTTCATCTTAGAAGAAAATAAAAAAAAAAAATTTCATGGTAACTAAGAGAAATAAAAAGATTGTCAGTATGATTGTTCATGTCATTCAAATGATAATTTAAAATTCCGATATTTAATATCTCGACACTAACCTCATATTACAGCTGATTTCATAATGTACAGGACACTTGGCCGAGAGTTGCCGGTTGTCGCCTGTCGGCAAATTGAAAAAATAACGAAACACATGATTTAGCTAATATCACGTTACACCCTTTTTTGGATTCAAAGGTAATTGATTGGCTGATTGGCTACCGACAACCTGACAACTCTCGGCCGTACATTATGAAATCAGCTGTAAAAAATTTTTTATAAATTTGATAGCCATTAAATGACTTAGTACAAAATATTATAATGGATATAAAGTCCGGGTGCCGCCTAAATCCGAAACTCAGTCCTGACACTACTATCCCGACACTTCAAAATCCCGACACTTTTAATATCACCATATTAAATTTATACTTAAAAAATTTATTATAAATTTAAATGACTTAGTAAAGATATTATAATGGAAATAATCCCGACCTCTATGCCGAAAGACCGAAACTCCGAAACTCAGTCCTAACACTATCCCGCTACATCCAAAATCCTGTCACTTTAATATCTCGACATCTAAATTTATACTTAAAAAAAATATTTATAAATTTGCTCGCTGGTAAAAAAAGTATTTATTAAGCAAGATTTTCGTTAATAGCAAACGATCCATTTTTAATATATTTAATTGTATGATTGTATAATGACAATAAATTTATTAACAAAAAGAATACTTTATTATCACGGAAATTTATTAAAAAATGGATGAGATATGCGAAAATGTGGTTCACATTTACAAAGAAAATAAAGGTAGATAAAATATTATAGGAATGTTAAATCTTGCTTTTAGTGAGAATCCAGTTAACGAAAAGAAGAAATATAAATAATTTTGTAGGTTAACCTGACGATGTTTTTGAAAAGTTTCAACAAACTTTTCGTTAGAATGTTAGAATTGGAGTTTACAGTACATGTGAGTATCTCTATAAGTACCGTTGAACCTCATTATTTAATTTCCTTAATTGATTTATAATGATTAATGTTTCAATTTGCTGTTTTTCCAACTCTTATTATTAATTAACACACCGACATTTTTGATGGGCCCGGATATTTATTATAAGTCAACGAATTAAGTAACGAAAAAGTCGATCTAATCTAGTCAGTGAAATTTAATAGGTCGACATGTTTTTTACTTACCGAATTAGTTAATGATCGATTTCTAGATTGCGCATTACTAGTAAAGATTATTTCAATTACCGGTAATAAGTACTAAAAATTAAAAAGTCTTTAAATTATTAACTTAATAAGTACCTATTAACCCATCACTACGCGTTACGATACCTCTTCTCTGACAACATCCGAGTCTCTTTAACAGAACAAATAAACAATGATATCCAGGTGCATGCTATATAATCATAATTATATGTTAATCTATAAGAAATTCCTCAAAATTATCAAAGTTACATGCTTCTACGATAGAGACGCGTTAGTAAAGAAAAGCTTATAACATTTTAAAATTAATATAAATTTGAGATTAATGTTTTGTCTTATCTTTATTATAATAAAAGTCGAACAAATAAATGAAAGTCTGAAAATAATATAAGTATTGATCGACTATACTTAGAAAATTTTTTTGATGTATTTTACACTTTCGTTTTTTTCCCTATTATCTCTAAAAGAACTGTATTATATTGTATTCTGCCAGTTTAGAAATGAATTCTATACGATATCCGATATTAAAGGAAAGAAATTACCTACATTAATTAAAATGGTAATGTACAGGATAAAAATAATTTTTTTTTTTTGTTTTTTTTTTTTTTTGATTAAGGGAAAAAAACTGATTGCTCTTAAAAAAAAAGTAAATAAGAAAAAAAGAATGTCTAAATATCGTATTTAAATCATATATTAAAGAATGAAGTAAAAAATAATTTCTTAAAACAATTATTACTTTGTCGTGGGTAAAAGAAAAAACTTGTAAATTTTAAACATAATCATAAAATAATTACTGGATATTATAACAGACTTTTTTTTTTTTTAAGAGCTATGCAAATATGGTTGTTGATTACTATATACCCATCTAGAAGGCATTGAAAATGATTCATCACAATAATTAGCAGGAATTTCGTAAGAAGAAATCATTTCCAAATTAGCAGAATTATTTAAAAATCTTTCTTCCTTCAATGAAGTGGTAAACATTGTAGTTGCATTTAAAGGAATATCCGATGTAATAACCTCGGAGATTCTAGGATGATACATAAAAGTAGGAGAATACATTGTAGGTGTTAATGGAGTTAATGGAGTTAATGGAGAAGACATAATATTCTGTTGATAGTGTAAATTATTATAATGATACATTTCAGAAGGAAATTGTTGAGTTAATAAATTAGCTCTTTTTTGTCTAGTTGTGTAAATTGTCTGTTCATCATCCTCAACAGGAGAAGTGAGATGATTTGAAGAATTCCTCCTTCTGTTTCGTGAATTCGACCTTGACAATTGTTTATGTAACCATTTAACCTCATGAGCTATATCAGCGTATTTCCTAATAACATAATTAGGTTCTTGTTTCCATGCTTGAGCCGCTAAACATGAAACTTCACTCATAGAAAGATTATATCCTTGTGCACGAACTTCTCTGGCAAATTCATTACGATAAATTAGAAACTTATTCGTACATCTGGCTAGCAGTGCACCACTTTTATTTGTTCTAATTAGATCGGCCGCATTTATAGCTGGTGGAAATGGTACATGGACAGGAGAATGAAGCTGAGGTTCAGGCCTTTTAATTGCTCTTACTGGGGTTGGCTCAGTTCCATTCTCAAGAATAAATACGAGTTCCTGCTCGATTGGTTTATTATTACTTGTTTTACTATTACTATTATTATCACTATTATCACGATTATTATTATTATTAATGGAGTTATTCGATGTTTTTTGTGATTGATTTTGGTCGCCTGATTTTGATTCCGACATTTTGGATTATAAAAAAAGGAAAGTAATAAAAGTAAAATAGGAAAAGATTGAAAAAAAAGAAGAAAAACAAACGTATAATTATTTGATCGTGATAATGATTTGTTACATTAAAACATATAGAAAATAGATCGTAATATAACGATGGCGTAGCAGGTAATGGTTACGATTAAACTAATTGTCAAAGGCCGGAATTCTAATTATATAAAGTGTCTAAGGAAAGAACGTAAACTCATCAAATCTCGTCCTTTTATATTCAATAATTCAAGGTCCTGGTACAACTTAGGGATAACAAATTAGGAAAATACCATTAGTAAAAAGCATGCCTTTTCTATACCATATAATAACGGATTGTTCCGTGTTCCGTGAACATCTCTCGGTTTGCCGAATATACTTTATTCTATTTGAATACATATAACGCGTTATGTGAAACCATTTTTTTATTGTTGTTATTCCTTGCTGATCTTTAGGGGTAAAAGGAAAAAAAGGAAATATGAAGCCCTCAAAATCCAGGATCACATAGAAGATATATTTATATATTTTGTACGTTTTTAAAGGGTGATTTATCTCATTATTTGATTTAACTGATTACAGATAAAAGATCCTGATCCAAAATCTTATGTGCAATTAGTACAAAATAAGTAATAATAATGAATACTTTGCACATGTAATGTAATTAGACAACAAAAATGGCAATCGTATCATGAGTAAGTATAAAAGTTCCACAATCAAATATGGATCAATGAATTTTTTAAGCTATAAATTTTAGGTTTACAATTATGATCATCATTTTAACCAAATTTGATCACAAATTTACCCCAGAAATTACTAATAAAAAATACCAAAAATAACAGCCGATATTATTTTTAGTTACTACTATTATTATTATTATTTGATTACGTAATGCTAATCATGTTCTAAATGTTCCGGCGGAAACACCATAATTAGAAAAAAATATAATAATTCACAAAAATTAATTTGTTTTTATTATAAATTTAATAATTGGTTTTTTCATAATGAAAATCTTTTCTTTAGATTTTGATCTCTTTAAATAACTTTTTTTTATTAAGTAGAATTTCATTTGGTTTAACATGAAAGGTTAGTTCCTCATGGCTCATGCTTCATTGAGAGAAAAATTTTTTGAGCTAACAAGCCAATTTAATTAAATATCATATCATATATATCAGTCAGAAATATTTGAAGAATATAAATCTCACATTCTAAAGAAGACTTAACTATAGGTTAAATATAAAGGAATTCTTATCTCATTCATTAATCTTAACTATATTTTAAATCTGTATGATCAAATATTATAATGAAATATTATTTTTTTTTATTTTAATTCGAGATCCGGCTATAAATCAATGAAATTACTAGGGGCGAAATTTTGTAGATCATTAATGAAATTGGCATTTTTATGGGTAAAGTATCACTGCATCCAGTGCAACAAAATGTTACGCAGTATTTTATAACAGAAAAACCACAACTTTCGAATGCATTATTAATTTCCCTTCCGATAAAAATTAAAAATAACTTGTCTTTATGGCGACAGCAAATTCTTATTATTTACGAATTTTCACAGATCGACCGGATCACGAATTAAATATTTTCTATTAATAACTCCATTCTAGTATCATCAATTTTGATAAACGAAATAGATAATTGATTAATTGTTAATTCATAATTGCAATTGACGAATTGAGACATAAGATTTCATTACAATTATTTGTACATTACCTCAAAATTTCACAAGTTTCACATTGAAATATTGCTGAATGATGTGATGATTCCGATTCTCAAAATGACATAATAGATCTTCAATTGCAAATTAGTTAGTTCCTTTTGATTGTACAATGATAGTAGATCTTGATATCAAATACAATAGCATATGTCGGGTTTATGTTCATTTTAAATTTCAATTACTTTTTCACGTCTTAATACTTAGTACCAATCCTGTCCATGGTTATTAATAACTGCTTTAAACCCTCTCCAAAGTGCCATGTGTAATTAATTTAAAGAATTAAATTTTATTAAAATATACTTAAAATATACTTAAATTTTCAATTACTAAAAAGAAAAAGAATGAATGCTCAAAATACGGAATTACTTACACCTTTTTTAGTCATAATGTGCAGTATTCTTTGTTTTTTAAGATAAAAATAATTTCATGCAATTATAAAATTAAATTCAAAAAATTTTCATGCTATTATAAAATGTTATTTATAATTATATATGATATCTCCTTCGGAATTGATAGCATCCCTAGTTTGCGACATTTAATACAACTTATAAATACTAATCTACTCCTATCTCTCTGAATAATTTAAAGAAAATTATTACTATTCATATAGTTTCTCAAAAAACGCTCGGATTTGCCGAATCTCAATTTAGAACTTGAATTATTTGTTAAGTTGTTTTAATATTGTATTTTAAATAGTTTTAGGGTAGAAGTCACTTAAGCTTATAAGTGAAATGTATCGTGGAGTAAATGTATTATACACATATACAGTATATATATAATGAACATAACGAATTATTACGCATTTATAATTTAAATGATGTTACAGTTATTTTTATTATTCATGACAGGTATTTGACCTAATAATTGTGTTATTAATCTGCCCTTAAAAATTAAACCTCTAAAGATTACAGATCATATTAATTCATATTTGCGTATGTTCATAATGTTGTTACAGTATAGTGCGTAACTTCGTAACTTTTTCAGTATACATGACGTAACAACAATTAGATATTTTACAGCTTTGATAAATTTTTTTATAATGATAATTCTACTACCTGGTCTTAATTTAATTATGGCATATATCAATAATAGAGAAAGGTTGCTAATATATTATAAATTCTTTATATAAAGTTTACTAAGAAACAATGAACAGGTATTTTCCAATTAACACGTATATTTAGAATTATATAAATTTAACTATTTTTATAATATATATTTACCCCATCCGGTGACTGATAAGTTATCACTCCCTTTCAATAAATGAATTATTACCAGCAATTTTATATAAAGTATCCCAGCAAAAATAATGGTCTACCAAAATAAAGACCTGTATATATATATATTACCATTGATAAATACAAAATGACATTTAATACAAAATTTAAATAACTATCAAAAGTTTGAAAAAAGTTAACTTTCTTCTTTAATTTGGATTTTAATTACATTATTATTGAAATATAACTAATAGTTTTATATTTATTGCCTATTATATGATTATACAGGAATCTATAAGTAACAATTACTTTATTTTTATAATTTTTATATTATAAATAATATTTTATATTTATAGAATTGTAATTTATAAGAAAAAGGTAATACTTAAAATTTTTACCCATCCAATTAGCAAATGTATATATTATTTCAATTTTTTAAATGGTATTTGTAAAATATATATAAATTCATTATTAAATAAAAGGGTTTGTTTTTTATCACACCTGTATTATGTCACACCCTATAATATGTTACATATAAAAGTCAAAAATAACATTCTAAATCCTTTTTGATATATTAAGAAAACTTGTAGAGTAGTCAAAAATACACATAATATAAGATTTATTATAGTACATAATAAGTGCATAAGGTCTCACACCAGGATTTTTTTAACAAATGAAAATCTTAGTAAGGTTACATGATCAAAATGACACCAAAAAAGGAAGATGCGACATATCGCAGGTGTGAAAAAAAACATATTCCCAAATAAAATCATATATACATTAAAGTAAATAATATAATAAATATTGCAAAATTTTTGAATTTAATTATTTAAGTTATTTAATGAAAATAATTAAAATTTACTAATATATTCCTGCTTATTTATAATAAAAGTTACTATAAAAAATTGGATTTTACTAATAGTTTTTACCTTACTTTTTTTTTAAATTCTATTAGTTAATTAGCTAAAAAAAAAAAAAATCATAATAATATAACATAAAATTTCCTTTTATAATAGGAATTTTATATATGATTTTTATCTTAGACCTGAAGTGAACCTATTTTATAAGTAAGCGGGATCCTATTATATTTTTGGATATTTTGGATATTTTATAAAATGCAAAATATATTGTATTTTATTTTGAAAAATATTATATTATTATATATAACTGATTTCAAAATTATTTTATTATTATTTTTTTTTTAATTACAATGTATTTATATAAGTATTATATTATAAATTATTTTAATATTAATAATTTATATATTAAAAAAAAATCAAACTTTAATAGATATATTACATTTGTAAGTATTTAACAAGTAATAGATATATGGCCATTGAAAAATATATTCATACTTCATATTGTAATATCACAGTTTAATAAAGAAAGACTCAAATCACAACCTATTGTAAAGAAGGTACATAACCAATTCCTCCTTCAGAACCAGTAAACTTTACAATTATGGTAAAATCTGAAAAATATAAAAAATACACATATATATATTATACATACTACCCAAATTATTTTGGGATGCTATAATTATAATTTGGAATACTGTAATTTATTCAGTTTATATATAATTTACTATGTAAAATGCCAAAATAATTTGAAATGTCATAATTGAATTTGGGATTTTACTTATAATTACAGCAGCCCAAAATAATTTGAGTGGTATGTATAACGTATATCCTATTTTTATACCTTATTTAACAGCTTCAGTTTACTATTTATTTAAAAGCAGTTTTTCTCTTTTTATATGTAGGTAGTTGGGTATATTTTTCTTTTCTTTTATTCTTTTCTTTTGTATGTGAGTGAGTAGGTACATTTTCTTTTTTTTTTTATATGTAAATATCTTACTATGTCAAATATATAAACTAAATGCCAAAGTATTGTTAATATTATAAAAAATAATTAAAGTATATATGCCACCCAAATTATTTTGGGCTGTCGTAATTATAAGTAAAATCCCAAATTCAATTATAGCATCCCAAATTATTTTGGCACTTTACATAGTAAATTATATATAAATTTAATGAATTATGACATCCCAAATTATAATTATGGCATCTCAAAATAATTTGGACAGCATGTATAAATTAAAGTATACTTGAATAAAAAAAAAAAGAAGAAACGAACTAAAATATTGTAAAATGTTAATAAAAGATATATAAGAAGAGAAAAGTATATTGTTGAAAATAAAAAACACAAATTTTAGCTATTTTTAAATATTACATGCATGCAATTAAAGCAATTTTAATTGGTTAATTATTACATCATGCATGTAATTTTATTGGTTAATTTTACAAATTAAATAATTATTTTATTATATTTATATAATTAATATAATTATATGGCTGTAAAATAAAAATTATTTTTTATCCAAATTCTATTTGATTTGGTAGTTGTCATCTTTCTGAATTACAATTATGAATAAAGTATACTTTTTGAATATTATCTATTACAGTAATTGGAAAAATACATTTCCATTTATCTCCTGTTACTTGAAGACGATAAAGTGGATATTTTAATACTGAATGTTTAACCATAGTATCTTCAAACCAATTTACAATAATAAATGTATAATATTTGTTATTATTACCTTTATGTTGAAAAATATCTTTGATTATTGCATAAGATTCTTTATGATCTTCTTCATAAATTGTGATAAAATCATCGAAATGTAGGTGAACTTTTGAAAGGATACCAATTTTTTCTTCAATCATATATGATGCAAATTTGTACAACTAATTGAAAAGTTTATAAGTGCCACCTCAAACTTCATATCCACTAATCCACATAAGATAATTCAGTTTTAAAATTATGCAAAGTTAAAAGAAGTTTATTATGTTTCTGCTTTGACATTCTTTTTTTTAAGGAAATATTGGAAATAAACTAACTTTACAGAAACTTCAAGTTTTCAAACGATATCATTTTGATATCATTTTAATATTGATTTAATATTGATTTATTGCTGTTTTCTAATTACTGTGATCTAGCATTATTTAATAAAAAAAAAAAATTTTGAGAAAACATGTGAAAATAAAAATTTTATTGCATTTTCAAATAAAGAAAGTATGATNATCGTTTTTAAAAAAGTTATTTATAAGCAAACTTATTTAAAGATTGAAAATTTTTTCTTAAAATTATAATTTTTAACTTATAATCATACCTCCTTTATTTAAAAATGCAATAAAATTTTTATTTTCACATGTTTTCTCAAAAAATTTTTTTTTTTATTAAAAAATGCTAGATCACAGTAATTAGAAAATAGCAATAATATTGATATGATATCAAAATAAAATATTATCATTTTAATATCAAAATAATATTGAAATACAGTCAACTCTCTTTATAGTCACACATTTGGGACAGTCCATATTTGGTGATTATGAGCAAACAGTCTTATGACTTTATCTTTTATTATGAAATTTAAACGAAAAGTACAATAAACAAATCGAACAATATTACAAATATCAAAATGTAGAAAATAAACATAAAACATAAAAAATAAAAAGAACTAGCTTCACGATTCATACAAGTAAAGAAATCTAAACAAAATAAAATTAAGTAAAGAAAAACTAAACTATTACAGAAACGCATACCCCATCTTTACCCGAAGGCCAGTGTGAGTCAACTATCCAGCATGTCCTAAGATCCAATCCGTTACCAAAAAGAAATCCTAAGTAGAGGCTGAACTGTTAAGCGGCGCCAAAAATCCAAATGTGAAATCCAAGATCCCCCACGGATTATAGAAGAGGAAACCCAAGAAACCCAGGAATCCAAGGAAGCTGTCGCCAAGGAAGGTGTCGAAGAGTCAAGAGGAATGTTAGAGGAAGGTCGAAGAATAGAAGAAGGCCCAAGAGCTGACGATTTCATTTTTTTTGTAATGCCTTGAGCTAATTCCCAATGATGAAAGAAAATGGATCGGCACAACCAGATTTGAACATAAAGGTCAAAATGAAAGTCGTGCAAAGGTGTATCTAAGATAGACCAAATGGTAGGTGAAGAAAAATAAATTCCAAGAAATTCTGTCAAAGATATCGGTATAAGTCCTCTTGTGAGTCGCAGGCAGGAAATTGAAGGAGGGTCACAATCCCAACAATTAAGAGCCATAAATTCAGCAGCAAAAGAGTCCGGTAAAGGGATTAAAGATGACGCGGAAAGGAAATTATCAAGATAAGTAGTCCGAAGAGCCAATAGTAATGTTTTAAAAGTTTGTAAAGGGCTAAATTCCGGTAAAATATAAGGACAAGTCCACAAGTGGTCTAAAGTCTCAGGAAAGGAATTACATTGAGGACAAAGCCAACTTGGATTATAAAGATGAGGCTTTCGTCTCTGAAGAGTTGTAAGCGTTGGAAGCATATCTAAAAGTAGCTTGATACGGAAACCACAAAACTCGGAACGGCCATTCCGATGAGAGACAAAATGCTTATTGTTATTGAGACAAAATTTGGTGCAAGCCCAATCAATATCAGAAGTTGAAGAATAGGAATTAAATCTTGGTAATACAGCAAGAGTTAAAAGACTTTTGGCGTCAAAAATATCTCTAATAAATTTCCGGATATTCATATCCACAGGTAAGGAATTAAATTGTAAAATGCAAGGAGCCATCAATTCCGATGGTGGACAAGAAGAAAGATGTGAGTCAGTATGAGCGGCTTTGGCTAATGCATCCACATGATTATTCAAAGGGTCGTCAGCATGAGCAGGAACCTTGATCAAGGTAACATCCAGATTCTTTTGCAACATAATAGTGCGTATGGAGGACCACAAAAGGTGGTTGAATTCTTTAAGCATTCTGGGAATAAAAGGAGCATCCACATATAAAGACCATAAAGAAAGTAATTGAGCACAATCAGTGGCGACAGTAATCTTTGAATTCCGAGGAAGGGAGTCCAATCCGTGCAATAAAGCAAAAACTTCTGAACGTAAAGCAGAAGGAAAAATGGAAGAGATGATATTATAATGGGATTCCAAAATAAATCCATCAGGATCTATAGCAGTCCATGCATAAGCCATCGAAGGAATCGGATGACTAGAAGAAGGAAGGAAGGAGCCATCAATATAAAGTGTAGATACCGAAGAAGGAAGGTGGATATCAGAAATCTGAGACACTTGATTGCTCATAAGGGGTGATCGAACTGGAGCAAAAAGATGAAATAATAATAAAGATTTGGCATAGCCTAGCGAAGCGGAAAGTGAGACCGATCGAGTGTCTGCATGTATATAAGTACGAGGCTTCGTAGGGTAACGGATGAGATTTGATAAAGGCACATAAGAGAAGCACTTTTCAGAAGGACATCGTTTAAGCAATGTTTTGGAAGTAGAGGATCGCGGAAGAGCAGAGGCACATCCTTGGCATGCAGTAAAATCAGATAATAAATCATCAACAGATGACGCAATCCAATGTGAAATAAGAGCTTCGTTACGTGGAGCTGGATATGTAGTAATCACACGGCCAACAAGAAAAGAGTTAGTATTACGATTAAAAGAAACAGCCCATTGAGGGTTAAACCAATAATTTCGACTAATATCTATAAAGGAAATAGAAGCTACAGTATGAGAACTAGGAATTCTAAATCGTTGTAAAATAAAAAAAGAAGGTGAATTAGGAATAACAATAAGATTAAACAAATAATTAAACCAAGCAGGCACAGATCCTTTGTTCGATACTCGTTTAAGAAAGCGCAAATCTTTCAATGAAAGAAGTCGAGAGCCACACGGTGTAATCAGTTGAGCAAGAAAACGAGTGCAGAAATTATTACGAACAATTTTCATGGAAGTAAATAAATCTTTTGGTAAAATAGACCGGAGTAGAATCGCCAGTCATAAATCTTTCCTCGGAGGTCGGAACAATAAAGACCACGTGATATTCAATCGAGAAGAGAACAATAAAGAATTGAACAAAGAATGTGTTCGTAAGGAAAAGGTATGGGACCATGGTTCTAAATAAATAGTAGAGGGACAGACATCACAATCCAAAAATCCTTGCAGATAGGTAATCATATAGTTGGCAAAAAGCTAATATGAAGGGTGAGAAAAAATTCTTTGCCATGAAGCCACATGAGATGATAGAAACCGACCAAACGCTTGTTGAATAGAGAACGGCAATAATGTAAAAAGCGCAGGAAGAGGAGTGACTGAGGCAAGACCAGCTCTCTGTCGAATAAGAGAAAGCATTGGAGAAACCATGCGATTAATGGTGGATTCAGCAAATAAGGTGGATTGTAGGCGAAACTCTAGCCTTGGAAGTAAAACAATATTATAAAGATAGGCCACGTGTTGTGCCAAAAGTTTTTTAGGACTAAGTAAAGCAGCCATATCTTTGACCATGGAAACAGTTTGATTGTGAACAAAACGAGAAGAAGCCGAAAGATTAAACCAAACACCTAAAAATCGAAAAGATGTAGATAAGGCTAATGCCTTTAAAGTAAGGGTATGAGATGTAGTTAGAGGGGATGGAGAAA